AACAGAAGCTGCCGTTGTTTGAAGTCCAAAGACATACCCGTAAATGCATTTCTAAACCATTTGGGGTGGCGCCCAACGGGCATTATTTTTGCCCATTTCATATAAAAGTTTTTTATCTAGTGTACGCCTGTAGCTCAACATTACAAAATATTCGGTCAACTTATTTTAAGTATTAAAATCATTGCATTCCTTTTTATAATCACCGTCCAATGGGCGCCTAATGCATACTTTTTTCACGATCCCTTTCGAGGCTTCGTTATGTCTTATCCTTTTTATACCCTACACCACAAGGTGGTCAGGGTATTATGTCTTTGTGCATTTGTTTGTAACAGGCAAAAGGAAACGAGATAGACCCATAGTTTCTTTTGATGATCTGCATAGAATCACTTTCTGAGTTGATTTATGCATGTCAGTCCGTCATCCGTCTGTTCGTCTGTCCATGTATTTTTGTAAACAAAGTACAGTTCGCATTTATTGCTCTATCCAGATGAAATTTTGCACAAATCATTTGTTTGGCCCAAGGACGAACCCTATTGAAATTGGAGATAATCGGTCAAAATTTAGATATAGCTCCCATATATATCTTCATTCGATTTGCCTTTTATTGTGCACCAAACGTGTAATATTAGCCCGAATAGTATGAAATTTTGCACATACAACCAAATTAGGCCTGAAAATAAGTATGCCAAATTTGATCGAAATCGGTTCAGATATAGCTAAGCTCCCATATATATTGTTCATCCGATTTGTTATTTTTGTCCTTCGCAGCCGTAATATGCCCTCCGTAACAACAATACTTGGGGAAATATATCAAAAACAGCTCAGAAATATCTTTGCCAAATTTTATAGAGATCGGTTCAGATTTGGATATAGCTCCCATATATATCTTTATCGGATTTCAAATTAATTTTGCACCAAATGGGCAATACAAGTCCGAATTTGAAAGATACAAATGCTTCGGCATATTTAGTCCTTTGAACTTTAAATTATAATTATAATCATAGCGTGTATGATTGAATTCTCCCATAAAAACTTTTAATTTTTATGCGGAGCTCTACTATATTAGCAAAGTGGTGTAGGGTATCATAAAGTCGGCCCGCCCGTCTTTAGGACTTTCTTTACTGGTTTCATAATTGCATATATTACTTTTGTTTTTTAAACCCCGAATTCCTAGTTTATGATTCTTATTTGAGTTTTCCTTGCTTGCCTTTGGAGCACAATTTAAATGGTTTTCGGCCAGGCAGCCTGCCTCTTTGTCTTCCATAGCATTGGCCTGCGGTCTCCTTGTCATGGAGTTCATCATCATGCAGCGTTAGAGATTGATGCCACATTTTATGTTGTTAGCCTTGTTTCGGTTACGAAGAGTGCCTGACATTAGGCGTATAAATCATTTCCAAATTATTTAGTTTTGCACTTACTTCGGCAGCGCCATTTTTTACAATTTACGACCTCGGCAAGGGGAAGAGATAGCGTGCAGGGTGACTTAAACAAAAACCGGTATGTGGAAAAGGAAAATATGTATGTATACACACTTATTTATGCTCTTTTTTTAATTTAATTAAAGTTTCCAACAAATTATATGGGTCGTGGTAGAAAATATGTATATTCGGCAAAGGATAATGGAAAATAATATTAAACAGAATTAGGATTTTAAAGTGAGATATTGTTAAAATAGGAAATAGATTTGTTGATTTACATAAGAAAATGCTAAATTTAACTTCATTCAATCAAAAACCTCAGAGTATCATGAAAATAGTTTAGTTTGGCCGGGTCGAACTTGTTATACCCTCCACCATTTGGGAAGTAAGGATTGGGGCTAGACAAAAAAACGTTGACTTATATAAAAATTGTTCTTATACAGAAGTAAAACCCGTTACTATATCCAAATACGAAATTTTAACGAAAATGTGGACCAATATAGACAATATTTTGCCACAGGAGGTAGAACCCATTAAGAACCCCAAATACCATATTTATACCCTACACCGTAAAGTGGTAAGGGTATTATAGCTTTGTGCATTTGTTTGTAAAATGGAGAAGGAAGCGAGATAAACACATAGCTTCTTTTGAGGATCTTCATAGAATCACTTTCTGAGTCGATTTATGCAATTCGGTCCGCCAGTCTTTCCGCCTGTTCAGGTTATTTTTGAACAAAACCACAGACACCAACAGTGATATCCATATCAAATTTCAAGATTGCGGCCCTATTCATTCACCCTATACCAAATTTAGTACTTTTTGTACCATTATCCACCTCCATATCTCAATTTCAAATATTAACAAAGACCTCAATGCAAAATTTGAGGATTACAACTCTATTCCTTTGCCCAATACCAAATTTAGTACCATTTAGTACTTCTCGTGCAATTATAGTACAGATTTCCTAAACCATCTACACATCTATAATTTCAGATTACAGACACTGTCTATTCACACAATACCAAATATAGTACTATTTAGTACTTGTCGTGCACTTTTAGCACACATTTCTGAAATCACCTCTTTACCACAAACCTAACACCAACAGGAAACTCAATACAAAATTTGAAAATTTCAGCTTCAATCGTTCATCCTAAGCCAAACTGTTCCAAATTTAGTACCATTTAGGAGAGTTCGAACATTTAGTACACATTTCCAAAACCTTCATATATGAACCCAAATTTCCAACCTTGATTCACATTCCAAGATTTTAGATTTACGTTCACATAATACCAAATGGTACCAAATGTTGCACATTTTAGTTCTGTTTGTACACATGCAGTGCAAATTTCCAAAAATCCTTTGATATGGAGGGCTCACTGCTATACCGAACCAAGTCATGAAAAAAAAAAATGCCGAAATTAGTGCCAATGTCCCCGTATATGGAAACTCTGTTTACTCTGTAAAGCACAATGTCAAAAAGCGTTTCGTTCCAAAGATAACGGTAAAAAACCTAAGTCAACGACTGTCATTTTCGACTTTTTTCAAAGCAAAAATGAACCAAGTCGGTGTGTTTCACTTTGAATCAGTACTATTAATATAAATATAAAAAAATCAGTGTTTTCTATAAATGGATAGTAATAATAGCAGTGCTAGTGATTTTTCCAGTAATGAAGATGAGGAATATTTGCCAGCCCCAAAAATGATGAAGACGGAAATGACGAATTTTTATGTGTAAATATTTGTTGAAACCATAGTAAAATTAAGAAGGTAAAGTCATTTCAAATAAGCATATCCATCTCTGCATTCTGTGTAATTTACTCTGTCAAATTTCCCTGCCTAGAAAGCAGGTTCCCATCTCTGATTTGTATGTACAATGGATTTATAAATATACATTTTGACAATGAGATGTTGTCAAATGCATAACTTTGAAAAGAAAAACAAATAAAAAGCTGTAAGTTCGGCCGGGCCTCCGCCATTTGGTACAAATTTGGCAATTTTCAAAAAATTAAAATCCATTAAAAATTCTGTTAAAATCTTAAAAATACCGAATGTAACCGTATATTAGGGGCTATACGAAGACGTGGACCTGCACAGACAATTTGCAGTCATAGGCTGTAGTATTCACTACGAACTTCAAATACTAAATTTGAAATAGTTCCGGTGATAGTACCGCATATCGGAAGGTACCGTTATATGATGGCTGTACGAAGACGTGGACTTACATGGCCCTTTTTCAATACCAAAAGTCCTGCAGACATAATACACATTTGAGTAAATTTTCGACATAGAATTTAAAGAATTTATATTATGAGTTCTAAAATGTATATTTCGAGTTGTTGCACACGGAATTACAAACGTAATATACCCTCCATACTATGGTGGAGGGTATAAAAATGTAAACATATAATTGTAAACATATAATTTTTTTGACTTGGTTCGCTTTAGCTGTGAAACCTTGGAATTTTATTCAGAGTAATAATGAACCAAAGTAGATTTTTTTGTTGTTGAATATTTTTTTAGTAATATATTTAAATTATTTTTATTTTAAATTAATATCATTAGTTAATTTAGTATATAGACTTTTACATTTTCTTTTGGTAGACTAAAATATTCCTTCCAGAAATTAATGGCAGTGCATTTACTTTACCTCTAAATATCTTCGAACAAAGTTTTTATGACTTAGTTCGTTGTAGCTGTGAGCCCTTCATATATCAATCAAATACTCCGTCAGTGACCCTCATATCAAATTCTAGCTCTACTGGCTTCTCAAATGCGAATGACCCCCATATTTAGTTTTGGGTCTTTACGTACCATTCTAGTACGCATTTTCAAAACCCAGCCTTTACTGAAATATTCGGATCAAGAGGGGCCCTCACCCAAAATTTCAAGGTACAAGACCTAGCATGGTGGTACATTTCACGCACTAAATATTATCCAATTACCATCGACAATAGAAGGCTTCTATTCTATTCTCAATTCTAATCCCTATAACTCAATGCGTGGATTGGTCTATAATTGTGACCTAAAGAAAAACTGTAAAATCGGGGAAAAATTCAGGTTTTGGTCGATATCAACTCGTAAATATTTTGCAAACATTACTAAACACATTCAAAATTTCGGGGGTACCGGACCATATCTTTGACTTTACACATCGCATTAATATATAAATGGACGGACCTACTGGTGGACAAAATAAATTTATAAACATATATGGAATTTGTTTTGAAAGGAAGCCTAGTCCTTTTAATCATTTTTTTGCATTTTTAAAGTCTTGCTAAGCATTCAAAAAATTAGGCACAAACTACCGACTTTGTTTTTTTGTTATTCAGCGCCATCTGTATGTCAATGCTAAACCATTGTTTCAATTGGTTTATATTTCTGCTAAATATTTGGTAAATTTCACAGGGTGATTCGTGCATTTATAAAATAATATAAATAGTATAATTATGTTAACAATTTCGTGCCTTTAAAAGTGTATAGTCAACGAATTACCGTGCACGTGTTTGAATTGTGCATTTCTAGAACCCTTAAGACCTACTTTTTCGAACTTTGAGAACCCTTTCAGCAATCATTGCTTTTGTTTTGATTTGCACTCATTTGTTTTTTTTCTTACTTCTTCATGCGGTTTTGTTATTAAATCATTAAACGAATCAATTTTAATTAATTAATTTTATAAAATAAATATCAAATTTATTTTGATTCTGAGAAAAGATAATCTAAAAATATTTTCCTTTCCAAACATGGAGTGCATTGTGTGCCATGAAGTAACCAACAAATACAAGTGTCCAAAATGTTTGGGACAGTAGTAAGTATTTCAATGGAGTTCCACATTACGATTAGTTTTTAAAGTTGTTTAAAGAGGAATCACATCCTGACTATTTTAGAAAGGTTAAGAATAAGAACGACTCATAAACCAACTAAAACCAGTAAAGAAAGACTTAAAGTCGGGCGGGGCCGACTTTATGATACCCTACACCACTTTGCTAATTTAGTAGAGCTGCGCATAACAATTAAAAGTTTTTATGGGAGAATTCAATCATACACGCTATGATTATAATTATAATTTAAAGTTCAAAGGACTAAAAATGCCGAAGCATTTGTATCTTTTAAATTCGAACCTGTATTGCCCATTTGGTGCACAATTAATTTGAAATCGGATAAAGATATATATAGGAGCTATATCCAAATCTGAACCGATCTCGATAAAAATTACCAAAGATATTTCTGAGCTGTATTTTATATAATTCCCTGAATATCGTTGTTACGGAGTGCATATTACGGCTGTGGGTAACAAATACAACAAATCAGATGAACAATATACATGGGAGCTATAGCTATATCTGAACCGATCTTCACCAAATTTGACATACTAGCTTCTACTCAATTCGGTCGTATGTACCAAATTGCATCCCATTTGGACAAATATTAAAAGTTTGGTGCACAATAAAAGGTAAATCGCACGAAGTTATATGTTATATTATATTGGGAGCTATATCCAAATCTGAACCGTTCTCGATAAAATTTTATTTGCTATATTTCCCCAAATATTGTTGTTACGGAGTGCATATTACGGCTGCGGAGTACAAAAATAACAAATCGGATGAACAATATATATGGGAGCTATAGCTATATCTGAACCGATTTCGATCAAATTTGGCATGCCTAATTTGGTTGTATGTGCAAAATTCCATACTATTCGGGCTGATATTACACGTTTGTTGCACAATAAAAAGCAAATCGGACGAAGATATATATGGGAGCTATATCTAAATTTTGACCGATTATCTCCAATTTCAATAGGGTTCCTCCTTGGGCCAAACAAATGATTTGTGCAAAATTTCACCTGGATAGGGCATTAAATGCGAACTGTACTTTGTTTACAAAAATACATGGACAGACGGACGGATGGACATGCATAAATCGACTCAGAATGTGATTCTATGCAGATCATCAAAAGGAACTATGGGTCTATCTCGTTTCCTTTTGCCTGTTACAAACAAATGCACAAAGACATAATAACCTTATGGGTATAAAAACCCATAGAAGCAATTGTGCTTAATGCAGGAATACAGTCAATGTATTCAGGGCAGATAGATTTCGGATAGATTTCCTATTGGAAAATGACCAGAAGCAGTACTTTCCATCTAAGTCCCAGCGGTTTTTTATAGTACAGAAGTTCGAATCTTAAACATAGATTAGACTGCATTCGATATTTTTGTATATATAGTTTTGTGTGTTGGAATTTTATATACCACTTCCCAAAACAACAAATTGAAATACGTTAAATTCGGCTTGGCCGACATTTTAAAGCTCGTCGAGAAATCCTTTAAAAATAAAGCTATCACTAATCAATATTCTTACAGTTCGCATCTTATGCTGCAAATACAGTGAAATTCGTTAGAGAACGCAGATAAAGCCTTCAAAATAACATGAGGCTGCAACATAAAAATATCAGATATCGGGAGTACCGTTCTTTGGGGGCTAACGAAAACGTGACGATTTCCCAATTTTGTCACATAGACAGCTTTTTACAATTTCATTAAAAAATGTGAGTTATATCGCTTTCTTCCTTAGAGGTTAATATCCATTAAGAGCTGCAAATACCAAATTTTAAATCGGTCCATTGGAAAATTTGCATCTCATCATAAAAATATAGAATGTAGCGAGGTACCTTTCAATGGGTGCTATACGAAAACATGGTTTTATAAAGACCACTTTCTTCCTGCGAAAGACGTTTACGTTTTACAATTTCATTGGAAAATGTGGCTGCAATCATCAAAATATCGAATATGAGGGTACTCCATCGATAGGGGTTATACACCTTTAAATTCTATACAAACTTCTGGTTGGTTTCTTAACACTATTAAGTATTGGCCATTAAAACTCGTGTAGAACTCGTGGCATCTTTAAAAAAATCTAAAAAAAAATATAATTTAGCACCACGTGATTATAGTTTTTATTTTATTTCTTCATTTCAGTTGCTCTCTTAAATGTTACAAAGTACATAAAGATTCCCCTGAATGTGTTCTGAAAGTAAATGAAACTGAAATTGCAAAAACTCTTGCCGTTGATGATGAAGAAGAACCCACGGTACATGAGCCCTTTAAAACTGAAGATACCGTTCCCAAAGAGAAATTACAAATGTTGGGTATGTTATATAAAATACTTCTTTACTTTTCGCCATTCAACTAATTTATTGTTTTATATTGCAGGCACAAATGAATCGCTTAAGAATTTACTATATAATCCTTATTTAAGAAATTTACTGACAGAAATCGACACAGCACCAAATGCTTGGAAGGCAATTAGGGCAGCAATGCAGGAACCCTTATTTCTGGAATTTGCCGATGAATGTTTGAAAATTGTGGAGCCACAAAATGAAGAAGACTGATTTTGAATTAAGAAGAAAATAGTTTGTATAAATTAAAGATAAATAAATAATTTTATATCTAAATAATTATATATGAATATTCTATTGTATGCCTTAGAACTGAAGCAGGATCCTTGTGGCTAAATGTGGTGATTGATACCCAGCCATCTTTGGATAGACAATACTGAAAATTAAGGGAACAAGTATGCATGGCATTTAAGACATAAATATCCACAGTTTATATCAGACAAAATCTAAATCATAAAAAAATATCTTGGTCAAGAAACGGGAACAATAATTAATCGTGGAGACTGACATTGTAGGTGTTTGGGCTTCACAGGAGTATAACATTTGTATACTTATGCAATATATAGATCAAGGTATTCATTTACAATCCGATGAATACTTTTATTGCAGACTGCATTAAAAATGTCCAATGGCTGTACTTTGACACTAAGCACGATAAATAACAAATTACGCTTTGGAAGTCAAGATAGATTGCCCCTTCGGAATTTATATATTTTTTTTCTGCATAAAATGAAATCAAATTTTATTTATTTAATATCATGTTAATTGGTATATGTTATACTTTTCCTAAAATATAGTTTAGTTTAATTTAAAATTTATACATTCTTTGGGCAAGGAATTCGAATCACAAATTTCCCCATCAACAGCAGGACGATGTACACGATAACGCCAATGTATGGAATAGGGTAGAAAATCACTGGGCACCTCACATTCATAGAATTGCTTGCATAGACCATAATAACGTTCACGCAACAGATGGGCCGAAGATTTTGGTTGACGATTGCGGGTGAATACACCTTTCTTATTGCCACCTACCCTAGTGTAAGCTTTAAAAAAATCTTAATTAAATTTTCAAATGTTATATTGAATTAAAGAGCTAACCTTGTTCAGTCTTAAAATCGGCAAAATTCCACACAAACTCTCCGATAAACCAATTTTGTTTTATCAAATAATCGAATGCCTTGAAGTGTTGACCAAACAAGGCAATTTGATAATCCTCAGACCAAATGGTTTCGGGTAACTAAAATGAATAATTAATAATATTTTTTATTAGTAAATATACTAGATTTCCTCTCTTTCTTACAGAATGCAAACCCTCCAACGTATCAGCACCGTATTCGGACATAAGTATTGGTCGTTTGTATTTCTTGTTCCAATTGATTGCTTCAGTTTTCACGGCAATTGAAATGGTATCCAAATGGCCAGCATTATGATACCAGGCATTGTAGCGATTGAAACTGATAATGTCCAGAAATTGGGCCTGGATAAAGCAAGGAAGTAAACATTAGTTGCAAAAAACTTAGCATAAACAGTCAATCAGGGTTCTAACGATTTTCGGTTTTTAATTCAAAGGTTTGCAGTTATTGTTAATACAAGTTCAATAATCGTTTTAACCGAGTTACACTGTGTTTATTAAATATTGTCGTGTTCTTAATGAATGTTAATTAAATTTGCATACCAATTTATCTTTACCAATTTCAACATTAATCGCTGCTGTCAATGGTCTGGTAAGGTCCAACGTTTTGACATATCTCACGATTTCTCTAAATAAAATTATTGATGATTAATTGATAAAATATTTTGTAAAATATTAAATTTTGTAAAAATATTAAACTATATTATGCCTCAAGTTATTTTAGTTTCCAAACATCATGACAAACTTGAATCCCTTCAAACAAATAACATTTTTGCCGATAGCGACAAATGATTGCTATTATCATTTCGATACAAATTTGGTATTTGAAGTTCGTAATGAATACTACAGCCTACGACAGAAAATTGTCTGTGCTGGTCCACGTCTTCGTATAGCTCCCATGTAACCCTACCTCTCGATATTCGGTATTTTGATGAATTTAGATACATTATTCACCGGAATTGTTTCAAATTTGGTGTTTGAAGTTCGTAATGAATACTACAGCCTAAGACAGAAAATTGTCTGTGCAGGTCCACGTCTTCGTATATCCCCCATATAACGGTACCTCCCTATATACGGAATTTTGATGATTTTAGCGACATTATACACCGGACAAAAAAATCGTCGGTGCAGGTTGAGGTACATTTCATTTTTTTGAAAATTTGCCAAAAATCGTTACAAATGGTGGAGGGTATTCAAAGATCGGCCCGGTCGAAATTACAGCTTTTTTAATTATTCCGATACGGTTTTTGCGATATGAAGGTCTAATTTTTTGGAACGTCTCCCAAAACGAATCTACATAAACAAGCGGTCAAATGCTCAGGAAATATATCTGATGTTGTTGTAACAGCTTCATAAGTTTTGATTTCTGCTAATCGGGTTCTAACTCCAGAATAAATATGAATGCCATGCAGACCTGTCTGTCAGTCTTATCGTTCCAGAGGATTTCTCCAATGTCCATCTCTAGATCATGTATGTCCTTCTTGACACGCGTGGGAAAGTTTTATACAAAACATGATGGTTTGGATGACTCCGACGTTAATACGTTGCAATTTCGTATTGTAAACCGTTATTGCAATTTAATTGCAACGGGATCCGAAGCAAAATAGGTGAGATAGTGGAATTTATGAATAGGAGGAAATATTTGGTCACAGCGGTGCAGGGATCCAAGCTCAATAAAAATTGCAGCCATGTATACACGACCAATTAGGTTTAATTTTGGATCACATAATCAATTCTATAGAGCTCCCATACATGTAATTATTGATTTTCAAAAACGAGCAAGAAAGTCTGTTGTTGTGAATATTTACCGAAAATATGGTTCCGATTGATTTTTCTGCGTCCTAGGCTCATTTGCGATAGACCAAATTATTACACTGGGATGATTGCGATCACGGTGTATTAACTGTTCCAATGCTGATTTGTGATTATACAAGAGATCTGCTCCAAAATAGCTGCAATGAAAAGAGTCAACATTCAAAACATACTATAAATCTCGTTAATTATTCAATCCTCTTACTCCGTATTGACACTGGAACACTCATCAATGATCATGATGCCATTCTCATCGGCAAATTGCATAGACTCCTCCGAATAGGGATAATGCGAGGTACGATAGGCATTGGCTCCAATCCATTTCAGTAGATTAAAGTCACGCGTAAGCAAGGCATAATCCAAACCTTTGCCTCTTAACTGAAAAAATTATAAAAATGTTATTAGTAAACTTCAAAACTCATAAAATTTTAATTACTTACATCTGAATCCTCATGACGACCAAATCCATGCAGATAAACCTTTCGACCATTCAACAAAAAACTACTTTCATCCCATTGGATTTTTCTTATGCCCACTTTCATGCGATAAACATCGATGAGGGATTCATCTGTGGCCGAATGCAAATAGATTTCCAATGTGTAAAGATAACCATAGACGGGATTCATGAGATATGGCCACCATAAAATGGGATTTTTCACCCGCAGCGTTCCATTGAATGTCCGACCCTTACACATCTCATGGGCGACAATATCATCAGCCGCTCTCAATTGTAGATGCAAATAGTACGATTGAAAATCAGGCGATTCTGTTACTTCGTTGCTGTCCACTCCAGCTATTGTCACTTTAAAATCTATTATTCCAATATTTCCAGGAATTCGGTCTTCTTTTTCTCCACTGGCCTCATCATAATCATCGTCATTGGAATCCACGACAACATCTGTTGTTATGTGGATATCTTGAATATAGACCTTGGGTGTGGTATATAATACTACGGAACGATGTATGCCAGCATAGTTAAAGAAATCGAATGTATAGGTCTGAAAGGTTTTATTGCCAGCATCAGTCAAAAGTTGCACCACTTCTCCCTGCGGTACCGTTGATCGCGTCAGAGTATTGTTGCAAAGAACTGTCAAACGATTTTGAGCACCAAATTTGAGATGTTCCGTTACTTCTACTTCAAATGGTAAATGACCTATGTCATGACGCACGACTTCTATTCCGTTGAGCCACTGCGGGGGGAATGAGAGATTAAGATGTTGTAAGTAACTTATACACACAACCCCTAAACTGAATTGGACCTTTAGCCTGCAAACCCAATAATCAAAGAAAAATAAATAACCCATAAAAGTCCACGGAAAGTCAAAATTGTGAAATAAAGTAGCGGAAGTTGTAATAACTTGTCTGGTCTACTTTCTTCCGTGTAGATTAACTTAATCAATTAACTGACTAACTAACCGAGAATCAACACCCAGATAAGGCTGGGGTTTTAGAAATTGTACTAAAATACGAAATGTACTAAAATATACTAAAAATTGAATTCTATGTATTGGACTAACGGAATGAGATAAAATTTAGAAATTTGGAATGAGAGTCACTGATAGAGTGCAGAATAGTTGTATCAAACGGGTTTTTGCAAAATTTGAACTTTAAGGTTGCGAAAAATTCTAAAATGGTACTAAACTTTTAAAATGGTACCATTTGGTATTGCCATAAATCTTTAAATTTGGTATGAGAATCGAGTTTGGAAAGTAAGTTTAAAATATGAGATGGTTTTGAAAAAGTGTACTAAGTGTGCGAACTGTGCTAAATGGTACTGAATTTGGAACCTTAATCTAAATGAGATCAAAAATTTGGTATTAGGCTGAAATGTTGTATTAAGGTCCCTGCTGGAAGTAGGTTTGTGAAAAGGAGGTGGTTTTGGAATTGTGTACAAGTGCACTAAAAGTACTAAATTCTACTCAATTTGGTATTGGTGTGTGTGTAGTGGGTGGGTATGTAGTGTTGCTATTAATGTGTATCCTGGACATATGGAGGTGGTTTAGGAAATGTGCACTATAATTGTACGAAAAGTACTGAATGGTACAATAGTTGGTATTGGGTGAAGGGATATTATATGTGTTTGAGATTTGGCGTTGGTTCACGAAAAGTACTAAATTGTTCCAAATTTGGTATTGGATGAAGGGATAGGGATGGAATACTCAAATTTGATATTGAGGTCTCTGTTCGTATCTGCAATTGAGATATGGGGGTGGTTTTGGGATATGTGTACTATAATTGTACGCAAAGTAATAAATAGTGCTAAAATTGATATTAGGTGAAGAAATACATTTAAAATCATGAAATTTGATATGGAGGTTTTTTTTTTTTTTTTTTTTTTTTTTTTTTTTGAAAATGTGTACTATCAGGCATGTCACAGAAGTTTTACGAAATCGATTTATTTCACCTTTTCCAAATCGTTACGATTTGCTTTTGCTTCTTCAGCACTCGTACGTTTTGACTAATCCGAAAAAAAAATCATTTCACATTTTTGAAATAAAAATATGGTAACTCCATGCAAAAAAAGTCGTAAACAAATTATTGACAATTAAAAAAGGAGTTTAAATTGTTTTTTATAATATAAACACCAAAAGTAAAAATGCCAGGGGCTTCAATACTTGCTGTAATGGATGAAGAAATAAATCAGCGGTCTACTGAAAAAATTCGTCGCCGGACATTGAGGAACGCATCAGATCCTTTATCTCACTCAAATGCAGAGTAAGGATCCACCATTTTTAGTCCATTGTGTAAAATAAAGTAAAGTTAAGAACGAGTCGTATTTGCTTTTTCCTGTTCTACAGCATATTTAAGAGTTTCAAGTTCAACTATTTTGAGTTTCATTTCGTTCCGTTCACGCATTCTCTTTTGCATTTCAATATTATGTAACTGCTCTTCCACATACTTTTTTTCCAGGATGTTACAAAGTCTGTCCAACTTTTCAGTTTGTTTTTTCATTTCCTTACTGTTATCTTCTAGAATTTTAGCTTACTGCACCACCAACTCCATCGACACTTTTATACAATCCGCAAATTCTGATTAAACTGTTCTCGTGTTCACTGAAAACATATTGATTGATATCACCACCACCAGTTCCTCGCAAGTCCTTTTTATTATTTTTCATCATGGATTAGATTTTAGATTTTTTGTAAAATAAATTCCAAAAACATGTTCATTCTAAGAGAATTTGGTTAATACAATATTTTCTGTAAAATGTATGTGTCTTCTGTTTATTTTTTACGTTAAAATCACTAAACATTTCAATTTCACCCTGCTTTTTGAAAGTGATATCAAAACGCAAAATTTTTGCGTTTTCCGTTTTTTAGAGAAGCTAAAACCGTTTTCGTTTTCACTCTTGAACGATTTTACATTCTGTGACATGCCTGTATAATTGTACTCAATGATACTAAATTTGGTAAGGGGGAAATTAAAGAGCTGAAATTCTCAAACTTGATATTGAGATCTCTGTAGGGGTCAAATATTGCGATATGGAACGGTTTTGCAAATGAGTACTAAAATTTTACGAAAAGCATTAAATGTTACTAAATTTGGTATTGAGTGGATGTATATAGCTTCCATCGCGAAATTTTGTATTGAGGTTTCCGTTGGTGTCTAGTGTTGACATCTTGTGTCTAGGACGGAGATATGCAGATCGTCTTGGGTACGCATATTAAATGTTACTAAATTTGGTATTGTGTTAAGAAAGGAGCTGAAAATCTGAGATCTTATGTTGATTATCACTGTTTGTTTCTAGGGTTTACATATGGAGACGTTGAAATAGTTTTGACAGAAAAATTGGATGTGGGTCCATTGTGCAATGGTTTTGCTAATATCCTCCTTATTAGGCTTCGAAAAAAAAGACGAGACTCCAGTAGCAACATTTTAAGTTTTCAGATCAATCCGTTCAATCAAAAACATACCGAATTTGGTTCAGTTGTTGCCACACTAATATCGACCATAATTTAAATTTAAGTACCATTAAGTACCTTTCGTATTTAATTTAATTTAAGCACCATTAAGTACCTTTGGTACGTGTTTCAAAAACCACCTCCATATTTCAACACTACATACCAAATCAAACTCTATTCGTTCAATCAATACTAAACTTTGTACCATTTGTACTCTTGTATTACTTATTACAAAAAATAATTCCAAATTTTAGGACTTCAGCTCTATAGATTCAAATTTAGTACCGTTTAGTACACATAAGTACGAATTTCCAAAATTTTCTACATATCCTAATCCTTCCCACGACAGTTATCTCATTTCGATATTTCAGGATACTAGCTATATTTGTTCACCCAAATCCAAATTGTACTAAATTTAGTTCCATTTAGTACACATAAGTACGAATTTCTGCTTGCCCCAATCCTACAATCCAATAGTAAACTCATTTGGAAATTTCAGGATTCCAACTCTACCGGTTCTGCCAAAATCAGAATTCTACCAAATTTAGTACCACTTAGTACGAATTTCCAAAACTTCCTACATACCCCAATCATACAGTTTCAGCATTTTATCTCTATCGGTCTACTCAAATCAAAATGGTGCCCAATTCAGTACCATTTAGTACTTTTCGTGCACTGAGTATACATTTCGAAAACTATCTCCATATCGCAATCCTACACTCCGCCAGTAATGTTAATTTCAAATTTCAGGATTCCAGCTCCATCGATTCCTCCAAATTCGAATTCTACAAAATTTGGTACCGTTTATTACTTCTAGTACACATGAGCACACATTTCCAAAATTACCTCCTTACATCGACCCTTCTCCTCAATCCTGATTTTACTTTCAAAGTTCGAGTTTTTAAATCTAACCGTACACAAGCTACGAAATGGTACCAAATTTAGTTCATTTTAGTACTTTTCATATACTTATAGTGCGGATTTCCAAAAAGCCTTTGGTACACCATCATATACTCCATTAATGACTCTCATTACAAAATTAAATTTTACTGTTCTGGTACGAATTTTCAAAATCCTTTTCAGACAACGGCTGACAAAGATCAACGTAAAATTCTAGGTAGATTTTGAGATATTGGTACCTTTCGAACAAATTGAGATAGAAAGCTAATATTTTGCACACATGTGTATTTTCTATAGCCCCATATAATTTTAACCCCCAATATACGGTATTTCACATTTTCTAACATATGACGACAAATAAATTTGTAGGATATTTTGTGTTTGTTTAGATCCCGTTTAAATTGAGTTTTAAACCATATTAAGTTTTAGTTTTTAACCATTTTTAAACCAAAGGGACCGAAAAGTCCCCTTTGGTTAAAATTTAACTAAAATAATACTGGTATTGGTTTTTTGGGTATATATCATTTGATTCGGCCAAAATATGCCTCACCGAAATAACACTTTAAGACCCTAGGTCCCTTTGGACCAAATCCATTTCAGGAAATTTGGAGTCGATCGAATACAGTATCGGATTTGATACAAAGTTGGTACATCGAAATATTATTATCAAACTTTGATTGAGTACGTCGGCCCCTCCTTCTGGTATCTCCCCGACAAAGGGGTCAAATTTGAAAAACAAAACTTGGTACATCCCAATATTTCTATCAACACAAGACTAGGTGTGAATATGGAATATGTCGGACCACTTCTTCTGGTACCTTCCCATAACGGGTAAAAATTTTGAATAATTATATGCCCTATAAAATGTTATTCACATTTTGCACATTCCAATATTTTCGTCAGTATTAGATGAATCAAATCTGGCACTTTGTAATATTTATGTTAGAATTATGCCGAATACGAAATGGAATATATTGACCAACTTCTTGGGAACAAGAATAACCCCCCCACATAATGGGTCAAAATGTTGAATAATCATAACGGATGACAAAGTATATTTAAATAATCGGAGGGTATACATCTGTCGGAACCTGATACTTTTTAAATTGTTTGCTCTACTTTCATAATCTACTCAATTTTGTCACAAAGTGTTATTGATCGATTCGAATTAGAGCTTTGAAAGAAGATCCTTATTACAGCGGAGAAAATCGTACTCTAAGAAAATATGAAAAAACAAAACAAAACAAAATGGTACCAAGCTTTTATAAATCTTTGGAACTTCGAAAGGTTGGGATTTTGAAATCCAAACTATATGGGTACAAAAACTAATAAGAGGTCCGAAACCACAACGCAAAGTTACTCAACGGTGGTAATGACTAGAACTTATAAATGATGCAAGAAAAAACGTCTTGATATTGATTGATACTTGGAATTCCGCAATTTAAGGATACGCCGAGAAGGTAGAAGATGGTATAGAATTTTGAGCGATATGTTAAGTCTATAGCTTTGAAAATTTAAAGTTTTGTTGAAATAAGACAGCATTAATGGTAATCCAATAAAAACGGGTATCAAAAATACAAATGGGGACAAAAGGTACAACATTGTACGAGCTTTTTATATAAATGATACATACTATATATGAATTATATGATCTAAATGAATATTAACTGTAATATGCCATTTTTATACCCTCCACCATGGTATGGAGGATATATTTAGTTTATCATTCCGTTTGTAACACTTCGAAATATACATTTTAGACCCCACAAAGTATATATATTATTGATCAGCATAAAATTCTATGTTGAATTAGCGAAGTCCGTCCGTCTATCCGTCTGTGGAAATCACTCAAGCTTACGAACGAAATGAATTAGGTTGAATTTTACTCAAATGCAATAGCAAGACTTTTGGGCCATGTAGGTCCACGTTTCGGTAAATCCCCCCTATATAATGGTACCTCCTGATATTCGGTATTTTGTTGATTTAGCGACATTATAAACGGAATTGTTTTTTAAGTTTCGCATTTGAATATTGTTATGGTTTTTGAGAAAAGTGTCCTATGCAGGTCCACGTCGTCGTATAGACCCTAATATAACGGCTACATTCGGCATTTTTAAGATTTTAACAGAATTTTTAACGGATTTTAATTTTTGAATTGTATTGAAAGTTCGGCCCGGCCGAACTTACAGCTATTTTACTTGTTTAAATTCCTATTGTTGTTTTGGGTTTCAGATTTTAAAAATCCCATTTGTAATTCAAATCCGTTATTTACAATTAACCCCACTGGAATTTCTTTATTTACATCATGAAAGTCCGATGATTCAGTAATTTATTTGTTTACGTTAAAATATTTATAATTATAAAACTAATTAAAAAAGCTAAAAAACAAAACACTTGTTTCTTTGTTTTCTAACAAACAGAAGGCAGGTAAACTCAATACGTAATGAAATTCAAATATCTGAACTTACCACAATTGCCGAATAATGTACACTGCCAAAGCGGAGCCAAACACGTTTGTCCAGCGACCAATCGTGGGAAACGAAAAACTTCCTTTCATACCAGACAACACCTAAGTGGTCCCTAAGTGATTCATCGGTGGTCAGGTCATTATAACTTGCCGGCACTGGCATTGCCAGGGTGGGTTTTATCTGCAAACCAAATGGCAGAAGGTTAACACCCCTCTTTAGAATCCACTGATAACACTCAACTTGCCTTATCCAAATCCGTTGCATACCATTTCTCCACCAAGCCTTTGGTGGAGTCATTGTAGCCACCTTTTAGAAAACGCCATATACCATCCAAGGATCTGATATCTCGTGATTCCGATTCGAAGGGATACAATAGACCCTGCGTGGATGGCGGATCTTTTTTAATCACCGTCTTAGCACTATTTAATTTGCCGGCAAAACCGGAATGCACAAAAAGTACCACAATACACAAATAATGCCACAACATCGCGCCGAAGAATTGAAAGCGGAATTTGTAAATAAATTAATTTGAACTCGTTTATTTCTATAAATTTTAGCGTTAATGTTTTTAGGTGTTTTTTTTTTTTTTTTTTTGCTGTAGTCACATAATTTGATATTTTATTGCCGACTACGAACTAAACCAAACAATGACTTCTGTTAGACTGGCTGACTGACTGTTTGAGTTATTATGCATATGATTCCTACACCTTATCTCTGCAAAAGAGTACTATGTTTACCAACAACAACAGCAACAACCCCTGCACTTCCGCTCCACCCTTCTGCAATTAATTGAATACCCCTTTCCATCACGTAATTCTGTGTGAGATTTTTTTTGAGATTTTGCCATAGTGTGCAAAGCATGCGCTACAGAAATTGATAGGTTGCGGTGGGTTTGTCATTATGAATGCTACATTTAATAAGTGCAAAAAGTTTTAGATTCGGCTCGTACTTTTTATATCCTCAATCATGGCTGAAAAGAAAACATCTGATGAAAACAGGGTAGGGATTCAATTTTCGGGTGATCTCAATTTAAAACTACAAAGTCACGGTGAAATCCGTAGGTGAATGTGGTTACGACTTCTGAATACTGAAAAGAGTTCCATACCTTTATGAGGAGTCTATACCGACTTTCACTTGTGTTTCTGCCAAGAGATTTTCTACCCGGATGCCATCAGTCCGAATATCACCAAGCCAAAGACTATATGATGATTTTATTAACCATATAATGGCTTAGATGACTCTCTCAGAAGCCTCTAGCACGTGGTTTTGTTTTTCAAAATCTTGAACAAGAACCAGGGGAGGTACCAAAAGATCTCTACCATCTTTATAACAACTCTTGTGTTGAAAATATTGAGATGTACTAAGTCTGAACGGAATTGGATGTTAATTTCGCGTTTATGAGATTCATGAATATTCAAAATTTTGTGGGGAAGGTACCAGAAGGAGTGGACTGATATATTCCATCTTTGAAACAGATCTTGGGTTAATAATAATACGGTGATGAAGACAATCCGACTCTTATATCACATTTTAAAAGTGTATAATTATTCAAAAATTTGACCTTTTTTTGCAGATTAGGATTGCAAAGTTGGAGCAAAATATGATGATCCTTTCTTCTTCTGTGCAATAAAATATTTTCTTTGAAAATTTTGACCCTTTGTGGGGGAGGTATCAGAAGGAGTGCATCGATATTGCCCATCTGCGAACTCGATCTATGTTTGAAGGGAGTATCCCTTCGAGAGCCAGATAGGCACTCTTCGAACAATCCTGCTCGCGATCAAGTTTCGCCCCGGGAACGATGTGGGTGGCTAGTGAGTTTTACCATTGAGACGTTTCGGATGTCAAATGGTCCTGTACAACCGGTTGATCTACACCGTCTCATTCACTTACCCTGGGATCAGTGGGGTTAAAAAGACGGAGTCGTCACGCTCATTCGTTAGTCCCGCACCTCCTGTGGGCTTCCTCATTTGCTGTGCAAAATTTCGATCTGATCTAATTCTCCCCATCTGTTACCTAGAGACTATGCTGCTCCGAAAGCGAGAAAATAAACAAACACAAACATATATACACTGAAGTGACCCTGGCCGATATCGTAGAACCCGCCGCCATTGAATTGACTACCAGATTTCGGGTCTTTTGATTACTATGATCTAATTTTTAAACGGAATCAGCTATAGAATCGCAATATCTCATCTCGATATTTGCAGAAATTTTTAAATTCGAAAATTGCCTTTCTGCAATACATGCCAAAATGATTATTTTTTTTTAAAAAGTTTAGGATGTTGAATAATTATAGCGACGCAAACCGGGCACAATTCAGCATAATCTTTTTTCGAAATTTCCTAAGTTGCATTTCTCTCAGATTTCGAAAAAACGTGAATTTCGCTAGAATTGAGCACAAATCAGCACAACTCTCCTTTTTCGAAATTCAAATTAAATTGCTTTATCGGCGGTAACTCATGATCACCCCATATTTGTTCTCTTTTTTATTTGAGGTATTTCCAAGTCGACTTCGCCCATCCCATTTTACTGTGTTTACATTTCGAATAGCTTGTTTATACAAAAAACACCGGGGTTGCTTGTTGCTTTGTCTTATCAAAGGGGAAATGTGCCGGTATTCGGGGTATGGGGAGAACTACCTGATTGTTGGTAAACACATTTTCTTTATCGTTGGAGTTGCGAAGCATAAAATCAGCTGTTAAAGTTCTATTGATTTCTTTGTTTCGAGATGCTCTCTCGAAACAGTGGAACCTTCAAAAAAAAAAAACTAACTAATTGGATTTTCTCACAATTGAATTCTTCTTGTTTTTGTAAATTTCTTAACATTTGGAGAAAACTATTTTATTGTGTTTGACCCACTGTCTACAGCCTGTAAGTTTGTCAGTGCGTCCGCCAATATTGTAATGACCATTAACATAGTGATAAATGACAAAAGTTCATTTGCATGTAATTTTTTAATTGCCGTTTATGCTGATAATTTCGCATATGCAAGTGATGTTTGCGGCGCTGCGATTGAATAGCATTTGACATTTTGTGAGAATTAACACCGCCTCACTAAACATTGGCAATTAAATTACTCAATACGATGCTGACTGACAATAATTATGCAGCTACAAAATAAAACAAAAGTAAATATCATTGACTAAACTTCGAGATACCATTGGCCGTGGGATTAGACTGTCCCACAAATTGGATGTAAATATGTATTTATAAGAACGGGTTAATTCAATGAAATGAAGGGGCGCTGGAAACATTTGTAGGGAATTCAAAATTATATATTTAGAAGCTATGTTCCGGAGTCAATCACAATTTTTTGGAAGGCTAACATGATGTACAATTTACATAGATTTTTGGCACTGATCTGTATTTCATAAATCCCTATGAAATCTTTCAAGTTAATTTTGTAACAAATATATCAGTATGTGATTTTCAAATGTTTAGATTAAAGTTTCAATATTTAAAGTGGATGACGCTAGCTTCAATTTATTTTATTCTCAGCGTTCCACCATGAGGAAAAAAACTATGTAAGTCCTTAACTACATTTTGCCTAAAATCCCAAAAGTTCTTTGGGGTATTAATCTAAAAAACGAGTAATCCAGACTGGCTATTGTACAGTGAAATTAAAATAAAAATTTATAATGATATTTTGTGAGAATATTTTCTCTTGCGACACCTTCCACCCAAAACTATTTTTTTTGTCACTTTCGGCCATCAACTCAAAGAAAGTCCAATGAAAAATTATTTTATAAAAAAAAAAAAAAACAGTAAGGAAAGGCCAAAAAAGTAGGACGGGCCGACTATACACCACTATGCATAATTAGTAGAGCTCCCGTAAAAAAAGAATTTATTTGATATATATCATACCACCTATCAACATTTGGCTTTAGAGCAGTTATGATTTCAGATGGAACCAAAGAACTTAGTCGGAATTAAGGTAATTTGGACTGCTATTGGCCATTTGGTGCACAATTAACCCGAAATCGATAGAAGATATAAAAGTTGGCGGTAAAGTAATCCTCCTTTCAGAAAATGCTATATATTTTACGATTGGTCCATAATATCAGTTCTGTTTTGACATTTTTGTAGTAAATAGTAAAATTATTTGACCAAGAAGAATATGATTTTTCATCATTAATGATCATGAGTGATGAGGCCAATTTCCATCTTAGCCGGTACGCAAATAAGCAACATTTACACTTCTGAGGCACTGAAAATCCGCGTGTAACCCACTGTATGGTGTACTGTTTTAGCTAGAGGAGTCATCGGACTGGAGGAGTCATTCAAAGTTGTCGCAGGCCAACCGTTACTGTGAATGGTGAGCGCTTCAAAGCAATGACCAACCACTTCTTTTTGATGCAACTTTATAAGTTGGGATAGGAAAACATGTGGTTACAACAGGACGGTACAACGGCACACACTGCACGTGCCACAATCGATATGCTGAAAGATGCATTTCCCGGGCACCTAATCTCCCGTTTTGGCGATTTGCACTGGCCAGCAAGATCGCTTGATTTGACTTCTTTTTGTGGGGCTTTTTGGAGTCGCGGGCTTACGTCAACAAGCCTCAGACTCTTTCAGCTCTTAAAGACAATGTCCGTCAAGAATGTCAGGACCTATCGCAGGACGTTTTGGCCAAAGTGATGGAAAATGCCATAAAAAGGGCTCACATGACCAAAAACTGTTGCGGGTGCCTTTTACATGATATAATATTCTCGACTTGATGTAAAAAAAAAACTTAAAGACCAAATAAAAATGTTCCTTTCAATTCGGGCTTATATATTAATATATTTGGTGCGCAATTAACTTAAAATCGGATACAGATATATACAGGAGCTATATCCAAATATGAACCGATCTCTATTAAATTTAATAAATAAATATCGTTGTTACGGAGTGCATATTATGGCTGTGGAGAACATATATAACAATTCGGTTGAACTATAGCTATATCTGAACCGATTTTCAGCAAATTTGATATACTTATTTCAAGGCTCAATTTGGTCGTAATTACCAAATTGTATCCCATTTGGGATAATATTACACGTTTGGTGCACAATAAAAGGCAAATCGGACGAAGATATACATAGGAGCTATATCTAAATTTTGATCGATTATCTCCAATTTCAATAGAGTTCGTCCTTGAACCAAACAAACGATTTGTGCAAAATATTATATCGATCGGGAAATGAAATCAACCAGTACTTTGTTTACAAAAATGCATGGGCTGACTGACGGACAATTGGACAGATATGCATAAATCGACTTTGGACAGACATGCATAAATCGACTTAGAATGTGATTCTATGCAGATAATCAAAAGCAACTATGGGTCTAACTCGTTTAAAGCTAGCTTATTTTCAATTTTACTTGTAGCGATTCCGGATTTATTTTCTCAAAATACCTAAAATCTACAATTTGGTATTTTTGGTCCTAACTAAATTTAATGTGTACCATTTTTTTCGTTATATATTTGAAAAACTCAGTCCTGTCGGTTTAAACCTATCTTTCCTTTGCGTTTATAATTGATATGAATAATTTAAACTTCTTGTGTTGTTAAAAGATTATAAGAAAATTGTTCAGTATTAGATATTCACACTTCATAACAAATAGTCATGCATTTTGCATATAACTCAAAATTAAAATTAAACACTCTGACCATTTCAATATAAAAAATAGTTTATATTTGCTATTTCCATTCACTATTTTCTATACGTATGTACATAAAAGACACATATAACCGTTTTTTATACATAATAAAATATAAATACGTTGTTTTAATATACTTACATACAACTATAAAAAAATTTCAATAACTTAGATTAATACATTTTCTTTAGAAAATACTAACGAAATAGGCATACAAAAAATGCAATGGAAAGTTCAGAACAAAATTTCACTTAGAGAGCGACTGGCAGTAATGGGCTCTCGAGCAGAAGGCGGCGATTATAAATCGGCATCGTCATGTTTGGCATTACGTGAAGGGCCCACATCGGCAATATAGGTGAAGAGATCTTCGGGGAAGTTGCACTGATCCACTTCACGGCCTAAGGCAAAGTAACGTTTGCGCAGCAGATGGGCCACGGCTTTGGGCTGGCGGTTGCGGGTGAAGACGCCTTTCTTGTTGCCACCGACACGGGTTACGGCTAAAAAATTAAGGGGAAATTAGTTATGCTCTTGAGGGTGTCACAAAACTTACTTTGAGCCGTTTTAAAATCGGCAAAATTCCACACAAATTCTCCTATAAACCATGGTTGCTTCCTCAGGGTGTCGAATGCTTTAAAGTGGCGCGAAAACAACTCCGTTTGATATTCCTCGGACCAAACATAGGCGGGGAGCTAAAAAATTTAATATAACATAATAGGGCATCTAGAGATTCGGTGAAATATTTTTTAATTACCAAATGTAATCCCTCCACTGTATCGGCACCATATTCCGACATTATGACCGGTTTATTGTGCTTTTTATGCCAATTTGTAGCCTCATCTATTACCCGTTTGGTAATCATATCCAAACGTCCGGGATTGCTGTACCAACCGTTGTAGCGATTAAAACTAATTACATCTAAGAATTTGGCCTGTAATTAGTGGAATGTGTTTTAATAATGGTCTGGTATTTTTATGGGACTTTTTCTTACAGCTTTATCGTCATTTGAAGACACAGCAATGGCAGCAGTCACTGGTCTCGAAGGATCCAGTTCCCGGGTATGATTGGCTACATATCTGGAAAATAGGAAGAACAAAATTTAATAAGATCGATATTATGAATGTCCAGGAAAATAAAAATTCTTCTGAATAGTTCATGTTTTCATTCCTCCATTTCATTTAAAATGTTGGGAATACTTACTGGAAATATGAACCTGCATTTAATTGATTTGTTCGGGGCTCATTGGCAATTGACCACATCACAACACTGGGATGATTACGATCTCTGTGTATAAGTTGTTCCATGGATGATTTGTGTTTATCCAACAGTTCTTGCTTGAAGTTTCTGAAATGAAAGAGAAAAATGTTTTAAAAGCGTGTTTCTTTTCAAATTCACGTTTATACCCTCCACCATACATAGTATGGAGGGTGTATTAAGTTCGTCATTCCGTTTGTAACTCATAGAAATAATAATTTTAGACCCTTAATCAGCGAAAAATTCTAAGACGATTTAGCCTAGTCCGTCCGTCGGTTGTAATTACAGGAGAGTCAAAACGAATAAATATAAAAAGCTAACATTTTGCACAGATCATTCTTTTGTCTGCAGGCAGGTCAAGTTCGATGAGGGGCTATATCGGTCCACGACATCGTATACCCCCCGATATTCTGTATTTTGATGATTGTAGCCAAATTTTTCAATGAAATTGTCTGAAAATTCAAATAGGGAGTACTTTACCCCTTGGAAGAGTATTGTCTATATAGGTTCACGATATCGTATATCTCCCATATAACGGTATCTCCCTATATTCGGTATTTTGATGATTTTAACTACATTTTTCAATGGAATTGTCTAAAAATCCATATTAGAAGTTCGTTCTAAGCACTTTACCCTCAGGAAGAGAAATATCTATATAGGTCCACGATATCATACAACGGTCTGTCTGTACATGTATTTTTGTAAACAAAGTACATGTCGCATTTATTGTCTGATTGAACTGAAACTTTTCAAAAATCAGTTTTTTGGTATGAAGAACCCTATTGATTTTGTTGATAATCTGTCCAAGTTTAGATAAAGCTCCCATATATAACTTTGTCCAATTTCAATTTTATTGTGCGCCAAATGTGTAATATTCGTCCAAATAGGATGTGTTTAAACAAATTCAGCCTAGAAACAAGTACTTCGAATTTGGAAAACATCGACATTTGGTGAAACTTGGTCCAGTATATCTATTGCTCCAATAAATATTTTTCAATATAATTCTTATCGAAGCCATATCATGCTCTATACATCAATGTTATTTGGTATTAGAAGCACAGAAGCCGTCAAATTTGTTGAAAATCGTTTCAGAGTTGGATATAGTTCCCAAATTATTACTACTCTAAAGCAATGACACGCATTCAAATTAGGTTCATAGTTGGCATGATCTACTCTACATAAATTCCCAATAAAAATTACGGGAGCTCTACTAAATACGCATAGTTGTGTAGGGTATGACATAGTCGGCACCTCCCGACTATTGACATTTCCTTACTGGATTTCTATTGAAGATCTTTAGAGGGTCGGAAGAGTTAAATGCATGGAAGAGAAGTCTTTATTCAACTTCTATCAGAAGGAGTTCTATCAACGGAGTTTCAGATGTCCTTCGGTAAGTTAAGCTATTCAAATAACTTACTCTGTATCAACACTGGGACACTCGTCAATAATCATGATGCCATTTTCATCGGCAAATTGCATTGATTCCTCCGAATAAGGATAATGTGAGGTACGATAGGCGTTGGCACCAATCCATTTCAGCAAATTAAAATCTCTTGTCATCAAGGCTAAATCCAAACCTTTGCCACGTATCTGCAAATAAAAATAAATTAATTTCAATTCAAATTACAACACCAAATCCTCCCCCCTTGACTTACATCCGAATCTTCATGCCGCCCGAAACCACGGAAATACACCGGTCGACCATTGATCATAAACGATGTATTGTTCCAACTTAAGGTACGTATACCAACTTTCTGGCGATAGACATCAAGCAATTCATTATTTTCACCATGTAGGAATATTTCCAATTGATATAGGTAGCCGGGATCGGGATGCATTAGATATGGCCACCAGGGCAGAACTTTTTGTACTTCTAGGACACCCTTCAAATCGCTGTTGGATGTTTCATTGGCCACAATGGCACCGTCTTTGTTGCGCAGTTGAACACGTACATAGAGATTGTTTACTGCTTCATTGGCCGCTGTGCCATTCGCCTTGACTTTGTAATAAACGAAACCAACTGAAAGGAAGAGAAAAAAATACTTACTAGAGATTGACATATAATGAATTTGTAAGTCAGGAAGAACTTTAAGTAATTTTCAAAAGATAAGTAAAAACATGGCCAGCAAGAGAACTAGTCTTCAAGGGCCGAAAGTGTGATTATGAAAGACTATCCAGAATAGGATGCAATTATTGACAGTTCAATAAGGCAGGGCAGATCGTCCTTAAATATACTGGAAAAGACCGGAAAAATAACGTCCCGACTCATGGATGATTTGGCATTTAACCAGGGTAATTAGCAAAGAAAAAGTTTAAGGTGAGAATACATAAAACTATTTTTCGGACGAAGCACAAGTCCGACGAAGATATATATGTGAGCTATATCTCAATTCTTAGGGATTATCTTAAATTTCAATAGGGTTCTTCCTTGGTCCAAACAAATTAATTTCATCTGGATCGGGCAATAAACGCGACCTATACTTTGTTTACAAAAAAAAAAAAAAAAAAAAATACATGGACAGATGGAGGGACGGAAGCACATGTATAAATCGACTCAGAATGTAATTCCATGCAGATAATCAAAAGGAACTATTTTCTTTTGCCTGTTACAAACACATGCACAAAGACATACCACCTTGTGGTGTAGGGTATAACAAAGGAATATTGACTCTGCACTCCTATGTTCTTTTAAGAATTACGAAGGAGCCAGCCGATGACATAAGCCAGTCGAAAAGGCGTTTTATATATTCTCACCTTAAGACTTGCCGAATTTTGCTGAGCCCACACAGGAAACATTTGATAAACAGATAAAAATCCGTCGAAAAATACCACTTAAATGAAAGCCGTTAAATGGGGGCTATACGAAGACGTATACCTATATAGAGAATTATCTCCCAGGGGATAAAGTACTCAGAAACAACTCCTTGGGTGGATTTTGAGACAATTTCATTGAAAATTGTGGCTAAAATCATCAAAATACCGAATATTGGGAAGTACCGTTATATTGGAGATATACGATATCATGGACAGATATAGCCCATGTTCTATCTCGCCCTGTCTTATTATTTCGATAAGTTTCAAACGGAACGACGAATTGAATATACCCTCCATACTATGTATAGTGGAGCAAATGAAGCAAAATAAGCAGAATTGTGGAATTTAGAGTAAAGATCGGCCAGAAGCATTGTAAAATTTATCAATAAATAACAGAAATGACAGTTTAGAACGATTTATGGACTAATGGCATCATTGGACCGTACTTATTTAAATATGTGAGAATCGTAACGTAACTCTGAATGATGAACGCTACCGTGAGGGCGAGCAAGAGCTTGCTTTCATGACATGTGGTCTCAACAAGACGAAGCCACATAGCACGCTAACAATGGACTTATTGAGCGGCGAGTTCGTTGAACATTTAATTTCAAGTCGGGATCGGCCAACCGGCGGCCTTGATCGTACGATTTAGCGCCTTTAGACTATTAGTTGTGGGGCAATGTTAAAGCCCATATCTGTACAGTCGACCGCGCTTCAATTGATGCACTGGTATTTATTCGAAGGGTTTTAAAGGGTATTCCGAAATTGGTCTAAGCGAATGGACCATTTGAGGCAAAGTCGCAGTCAACGTATGAGCCGTACTATCAATTCAAATAATCGTTACCATGGGTGTTTCTGAATTTAGTATAGTTTTAAAAAATCACCCTACATTTTCATTTCCGCATAACCAACTGAAAGGAGGATATCAAAACTTTAATTTGAAAACATGTCATACTTACCATTATTGTCCTTTGCCAGATCGGTGGTAATTTCCATTTCCTCAATATATGTTAGGGGTGTTGTATATAAATGCACAGAGCGGTGGATACCGGCATAATTAAAGAAATCAAATGTATAAGTTTGTACTATGGCAACACCATCATCTCTGCAAATAATTATGAAAAAATATAAAAAAAAATAATTTCCAACAAATAAAGCAAACACTTACCTTGAAACCTCTGTAATTTTCCCCTGAGGTACTGTGGTTTGTATCAAGGCATTATCACACATGACGGTTATGCGATTCTCTTCGCCGTATTTGACTAAATTCGTAATTTCTGCCTCAAAGGGCAGATGGCCCATCTCATGGCGCACAGCCATTTCACCGTTTACATACTGGGGATTACAAATGAGATGAAGAACATTTTTTTAAGAATCCTTTTTTAAAATACTCACCACAAATGCCTCATAGTGTACGCTTCCAAAACGCAACCACACTCTCTGCTTGTTGGCCCATGATCGCGGCACAAAAAATTTCCGATCATACCACACGGTACCAACATGATCACGCAAATCATTTTGTGTTGTAATGTCATTGTAACTAGCCGGCACCGGCATTGGTATCGTATCCTGTACCCGACTCAAGTCGTCCAGAAACCATTTGTCACGGACTCCCTGCGTTGGATTGGTGGGATCGGATTTAACAAAATTCCACAGGCCATCTAGCGAGCGCACCTCGCGCGTTTCTGACTCTCTTGGATATAGCATACCGACAGTTGGTGAAATTTCTCTATTCAATATTACCAGTGCTATGGCATAGTGAATACAAAATCCAATAAGGCCCATGGCGATTAGTGATAAGGCTGGAAAGAGAAAAGTGAAAGAATGTTAGAATTAGATGATCATAAGAAGATAGTTAAGATAATCATTATGTTAATTTTGACAATTCAGTGAGATAAATTTTCATTTTGCAATAAAATTGCAAAATTAAAAATAAGTCCGCTCTGTATCAAAATATTACTCTCTTTTCTATCGCCCAGCAGATTACAGTCATTAACCCATAATGTAAAAGACTACTTTTGTATTACCAGTAGGTACAAAATATTGGGTTATTTCTTTAAAAGATCACAGCGAATGAAATTACTTCTCTTATTACCAAGTAATGGGTAAAGATGACCCACTACAAATCCGCAAAGATCGCAAGATTGTCGATGTTTAGTGGCCAAATAACACAATTCGACACATTTGGGGTAATGGTGTGGGGGTGGGAAATTCCAAGTAGAGGTGATTAGTATTGGGTTAGTAGATTGAAATTAAAGGCCAAACCTTTTTTAGGGCCCTTTACCATACGTGAAGGGTCCCAAATATTATGCTCTAACTTCTAACAATTTAAGATGGAACTATTAAATTTGATACAGGCCTATTGGTTACATGTAAAATCATTTGTAGCAAATATGGATCATGTCCATGGTCCCTGTTTTGGTGTAGTCCCTATATTAGGGTATAACCCGAATTTTTTACATTTTACACATATTTTTCATGCTCATTTCGACAAATTTTGATAATTTGAAGTCTTAGGAAGAAGAAGCCATCCTTGCCAAATTATCAGTATAGGCCTCATATGAACTTATCCCCTGATTAAAGCTATTGGCTATTTTTTTATTGATTTGGACTTTATTTGACATTGTGGCTTTCATGGGGGTGGAAAACTCCTCGCAGAAATTTTTTAAGGTAGGTCAATGTTTCTTAGTAGGGTCCATATTAAGGCACCTTCTGATTTTATATATTTCTAGGGTCTTCCTCTCAAAATGTAAGATGGAGAAACAATTGTAGAATCATTTGTGCAAAATATGGGTCAGGTCGGTACACGTTTTGATATAGCCCATATAAAAGGGTATATCCCAATTTCAACTATTTTACAAAAAATAGTTAAAAAAAAATAGCAGTATAGTGGAGGTGAATGTTTTGGACTAACTCTCGTATATAGGTAACTCCTGATTTTACCGCTTTGGAGGGCCTTGAACACATATATATTCCAATCGATTCGTTTAAAAATTTAGATTTAGGCTAATTTAGTGGTAGAGAACAAAGTCCACGTTTCCAACCAATGTTCTTTGGTGGGTGGACAATTCAAAATGCAGGAGATAGCATTAGGTCAGAATAGTTATACCCCAAATGGGTTTTATTTTCTCAAGCCAAATTTTTTATTTTATGATGTAGGTCCCATATAGCCGTACATCTCAGGTCCACGTTCTCAATTGTCTAGGGATTCAGAAAAGGTGAGAATATATAAAACGCATTTTTGACTGGCTTAAGTCATCGACTGGCTTCTTCGTAGGAACAAAAGAGTTTCAGGATGACTTAGGTTGTTTGTTTGTTCTTTTCCGATGAAGTCAGCCATTTTAAATATCAGGAAAATATCGGATGAACGAGAATAACTGCATTTCATTTTCAATAATCCTGATAGAAAGCGGTCATAGCCTCGGGCCTGTATGTCAGTAGTTTTACGAAGCGTTTGTACAACCCCCTATTATACCAGGTATACCGTTTATACACAAAAATTTTGGAGTTCACGTCATATTTCATATGGAGTTTGCAGAAATAAAATAGGTTCGCGCATTCCAGAGAACATCAATTACTTACAACATGCCACTTCTTTAAACATATGGTTTTGATTTGAGAGAAATATGTTTGGAGTTTTGTTACTCTTATGTACTACTGCTGACCTAAAAATTCGAATACGTCTAATGAGAACAGATTTTGCAGATTGTCGATGTAAGATGGATTTTCATATCAAAAATAAATATTTTACTCTAACTGAGTTTTATTTTGCCTCCCACATTTCGTAACTGCACCAAATCCTTAACCACAGACAGATGGCTTTCTTGATTTATAATGCTATAGCCACAATACTGTACTACAGCTGGACGGGGGTTAAGGCTCTCTTATCTAACAAACAACAAAGACCTAAAATGGTAAAGACTAGACAAAATGCATTCTGAGCAAATGGTTTGTGGCCATACTACCTTGAATAACAGCTCATGACGGAAGCATGTTAATATAAAAAAGTACAATTTTAGGAGAGAATGACAAATAACAGTTTGGATAATCCAAAATATTGGTTTCAAAATTCTATTCCGTATATCTTCCCAAACAATTGCATACTGCCTTAGCGGTTTAAATTGCTTAACATTGGTAACTATGTTGGTACGATATCATAACAACAGAGGTATTTTTCACAGGGTTGCCATATTTTACTCAGTCTTGTCCTATCTTTATACTTCTATGTCTTTGCAAACAAGTCATTCAATTACCTGACATATGCATTTACAAAACGTTCTTTGAAATTTGTAATCATTTGTCAGACTGACGTAAAATATATAAAATAACTCTTCAAATAAATATCAAATGAGGTGTGACTCATTTTTTAATATTTTCATTTGGGCTATCAGAGAAAGTAAAAGTCAGATCTTTTATGCTATCGACAAAAAAAAAATGCGTACAAATAAAATCTATCTATGGAAAATCTAACTGAACATGTTGGTATGGGAACTTATTATAACATATTTTGGGACTACTGTGGTATTATCATGATAGGCATTATCTTATCGATATTAATTATTACCTCTGTTATCAAAATACCCTTTGAAAATAGAAATCCAATCAATTCAATATGGTCAGAACAAAAAAAAAAATGAACGCACTTGATAAAATATTCCACTAATGACTTATAAGCCATTAGCGAGTTAATGTTTTTGGGTCATACATATGCGTATGTTTGTGTTTGAACTCAAATGATAAGAATTCACCTCAGAAAAAAAAACTTGTAAAACTCTTCAAATTTGAAAAACAAAAATTGGTAGAAAAAAAATGGCAAAACTAGCTGCCTGTTGAACAGAATAATTAATTCATAATATCCATGGTAGAAATACCATGTAACAACATTGGCGAAAATTACAATAAACCTAGTTTTTGGACACTTAAAATCAGGGCGAATTGATTTGAAGTATAAAATTTGGGGCACATTGACTACCTTTTTCCATCAAATTTTATAAAAGGATAACTTGACATTTCGATTTGAATTTGAAAAAGAAAACACAATATTACTACCATAAGGATTATTATCCATAGACATTTATGGTCCTTTGACATTTATGGTTCGTGCATTTGTTTGTACCACCAATTCTCAATTTGGCTATCGGTAAGCCTGTTCATGTACTTTGGAAAGCAAATTTCAGATTGCATTTGTTTTTTAACTGAGTCAAAACATTGCACGGTTCATTTGTTTATATATCTTCCTCCGAATTCGCATTGAGTATACACTAAATACTTAATATCTGCAAAATTAAAAGTATTTGCCATGCACAATCGAATTCAGCTAAGAAGTAAAGGTGAGAACACATAGAACATCTTTTTTACTGGCTTAAGTCATTAGATGGTTTTTTCGCAAACGTTGAAAGCAGTTTTAGGTTAACTTAGTTCAATTTCGGTCCATAATATATATTTGATCCCACTACTCTCCTTTGTTCTTCTACAAAAAAGCCAGCCGATTATTTAAGAAAGCCAAAATATTCTTGTCTTCTTAAGGTGGGAATACATAAAGCGGTTGACTTAGTTCGATTTTGGCCCTAGGCCCCTTTGTTCATTTCCGAAGAAGCCAGCCGATGACTTAAGCCAGCCAGATAAGCGCTTTATGTATTTCCAGATTTAAGCCAGTCAAATAAGCGCTTTATGTATTCCCACCTTTAGCTTAAGTCTGTCAAATTTTGTCAAATATATGTGTTATCCAATTCTATATTTAAATCCCCCTAAGGACTAGATATCAGATACCTCCTGGCAATGACTTGGCAAAATTTTGTCGACATCGAATCAAATTTAGATATAACCAGCATATACATTACTCGATCTTGATACTTGATATCAATTATGCATCAAACATGGTACGTCCAAGTATCTTTATTTGTTACCATACTGTCAAGTTCGGACTACAATAGTTTGATTTTTAACAAAATAGATTCAGATATAGCTTTAGCTTTCATATATATTTACCATCCAAATTTATAATTATGCCTTGAGACGAGAATACATAAAACGCTTTTTTGACTGGCTTATTCGTAGAGGAACAAAGGAATCTTAGGTTGACTAAGTTCGATTTTGGTCTTACACTCCTTTGTTATTTTCGGAAGAAGCCTGCCGGTGACTTAAGCCAGTCAAAAAAAGCGCTTGGTGAGATAAAAAACTGCAACAAAGTCGAATGCCATAATTTTTACATTTTTTTAAATTTATTAAATGAAACAAAAAATCGGAAATAGCATCAAATTTCAGAATAAGTTTAGATTTGTTTGAATTGGTCACCTTTGACACGGCCTTCAAACGGCCAATGAAACCGTCACACGCTGCCCGAATGATGCTCTGTGGTATTTTGGCCCATTACCGGCGAAGCGCTTACTTGAGGTGATCGACACTTTGGTATTTTTTAGTGCCAAACTTGCTTTCCAGAATACTCCAGACACAATAGTTCAACGTATTGATATCCGAAGATTTTGGTGGCCATTGTGCGCTGGAAATGAAGCGAGGAACCTCATTTTGTAACCATTCATGGGTGGCGCGTGCTGAGTGCGATGCTGCTGAGTCCTGTTGGAATGTCCAAGGTCAGCGGCCAGAATGTTTGCGTGCCCAAAGCTTTAATACACCCTCCAGAAAATTTTCACGATATTATTCGGCATTTATTTTGATGCCACCGTTGATTAATATGAGCTGAGAGCGACCATCGGCTGTTACGGCGCTTGAGTTCTGGTGGCCAATCGAAGGTTCACATTTTCAGCTGACCTCTTTTGCAAGTAAACACGATCATTTTCTTTGT